ATGAAACACACAGTGCGGATGCTGGGGAAACATCTGCCATGTGGCCGTTACAGCCATTAGAAGATGGAAATGGAAATCCATGGAGCTGGAGGCAGAGAGAAGACAGAGTTTAATTATTATATGCCTTATACTTGTCTGACAATCTGATAGCTTGAACGATCAGCGATTCTCAACTCCATTCAGAATCTGTGCAAACTGTAGCAAAAAATGTTCTAATAAATAAATCATGGTTATTTGATTTTCTTTTAGTAGCTGAGTAGCATTGACAACACATAACTCAGTAAGTACTGCAAAACCTGCACAGGAAACAGAGAATACTGAGGAGGTTAGCCCAGCCTGAACTCTGCTCTGCTTCACCGCCCAGCAAAATTGCTAACGAGTTAATGCAAGCATCACAAGCATGTCAATGGGAACAGTAGTTATAGCTATAATGGTAACTTATACAAACTAAAAAAAAAAATGTATTTTTGTGTTCAGCTGAATGAGATCACGTATGACTGTAAGGATCCTGACTTTACCGGATTTTACTGAATGGCAGAAAATTCCATTTCAAAAAAGTACCAAAGAACCAAAGATGTGATGAGCCTTTGTACATACAAAAAAGATGCACCAAAAGAAATGTCTGTAAGTTAATCATTCATTCTTCCTGCACTGCAATTCAGGCTCTCGGAGAATACTTGCATATGCCCCCAGATTCCTTTCCTGTTCAGGGCATAGCTCCAAAGAGCCCAAACATACCAGCAGCACAATCAGCCCCAGCTTACAAAGCAAGGCTCTATCCGTCCTCATTCTCTCAAGCATCTACCTACAATAAACCTTCCAAACTCACCACACAATTGTAAGCTCACGTAAGTCTCAACTACACAACAAAACAATGATAAATCTCATTAGTCCAGTATTTGAAGTCCAGAGTCAGTAACAGAAAACAACAGACCAAAAGGTACGTTCTCAGGGAAAGGCCATTTTGCCATTGAATGTGGTTCTTCTAGCCTCCAACCACCTAGATGTTCCTGCTCCTCACTCATTCAGCAGAGTAAACTTGGATGTATGGCAATGTGGAACGAAAATTTAAGAATCAATTCACAAGAGCAATAACTTTCAGTACACCTCTTGTCAAGAATGTTAATACATGTATTTCTTCTGTGAATCCTAAGCCCGTATTTCAAAGTGATCTTTCAAAGAGGTCAAAGTTCTTTGCAATATTCTCTTCTCTTGAAAATCCATGTGACAGAATTCATCAACATAGAGGAGTCACCACATGACCAGAGAGGAAAAAATTTGTAACAACAAAGAAGTAAAAATTAATTTGATAATATAAGAAAGAAGTATAAGAAATCATGCAACAGAAAGAAATGGGCAAAAGGACTGGAACATTTAGGAGTAGACAGATTTACGGGTAGCAGTTGAGAGGATCAAAGCTGCAGAAAGAATTTACCTACTGATTTTTCACTAAAGTCATGGAAAATGTAAGCTAAATCTGAAATACTGAAACCATCACCTAAATACCACCTGTACTATGTTAATAACTTTCAGTCCAGGCTTTTTCACTGATCGCTCTTCGCATTTAGTAACTAAAAAAAGATTTGGATGAATGAGATATTTGAAGAACTCTCTCTAGGGACATGCAGCCAGCATGCAACGTAGTTAGTGTGATTTATACAGGAGGCACAAAAATATGTGCCGCTTGTCTACTTCTTTTGAGAACCAGAACATAAAGGCAATACAAAAGTTTGGGCAAACATCTGAGGGAGAGCCACTCCAGGTAACTTTTCTTTAGTTTGTCTGGCCAGTTAACCACCTGAGAAGAAAGGCTGCAGACAACTAGGAACTCCTTCACAGAGGCTGCAAGGAGTCTGCTAGTGTTGGGAAAGTGAAAGGAGGGAAATGCCACCCTCCAAAATGTCTCACTTTGGGCAGGTCTCAGAATACGACAGTAATACTATTTGTCAGCAATAGCATGATTTTGCTCTGAATTAGAACCATCCAGAAACTTGCCTATGAATAGGAAAAGAAAATGTCCTTCTTCTGAAAAAAAAAGAACCCCAAACTGGTCTTTTGCCTGTGAAGTGCCTACAGAAAAGAGTCACAGTCCCCACCAGCTCATGCTTTTGTGTTTCTACTCCTAGTTTTGCTAGACATGCAAAGGGTTTAAGTTCACATTTTGGGGCACTCGGATTAAAAAGAGGTATCATGTTTAAAATTATCCACACCATTTTAAATCCGATTGCTTTCAAAGAGATCAGCCAGTCTGAGTCTAAAAAAATCTCCATCCTCAAGCCAAGTGAAAATGCAGAAGTAGTTATGCTCAATTCAGCCAGACCAATCTTGTCTTGGAAGATTCCCGCCTGAGACAGTGGCTGAGGGATGATACAAAAGAATAACTTTGTCACGGTGACAGCAGAAAACTGCCAAAAATCACCTGTGCTTAAAGCACAAATTTAGCTGCAGGTAACTTACCAGCGTGAAGTTCTGAAATAGTGATTTATGGTTTGGCAAAACTTGGTGTTGGTCTATGACAGTGTTGATAAATCTGGGTATATTTAGGATCTGTCATGCTGGGAAGCAAGAAGAAAAAACCAATATCATGGCTCATAATTAGTAAGCAAGTGTAATGGCAATGAAATGGTCTGATCATTGCCCCACAGGG